TCTCCTTACCAGTATTCTAAACGTACAATGGACCATTAAAAGAATTTTTCAAACAAACGATTTAACATTACAGTCTTTATGTTGCTTGTTTCCTTTTTTCATTTCACTCAGCTTGAACTAAGCAGCTGCTTGTTTTCATGCACTAGGACAAAGCTGCAATGTTTTTGCTGTAACTAGTGGGCTATTTTTAAAAAAAGGAAGCAGCTTTGATGAGATTTCTCTTGGTTTGGTATTCTAAAAGGTTGTTTTCATAAACCCTAAATTTTTAGGGTCCCTTTAAATCTGAGACAAACGTTCATAGTCGAGATTCACCTTTGGATTCCCTCTGCTTTCTTCATACACACATCTTATTTCTCTCTCCTCTTTGATAGAAATATTTAAGAAACTGGATGTTGAGAAAAGTGGAACAGTGGAGATGAACCTTAACACTGTAAGTTAATAAGTCTACTCGGGTTCAACAGCACAGATCTGTGGCTTGCTGAGATGGTTTTGGAGAAAAATGCTCATTCAGTTCTAAAAGCTGTTTCCCCTGGTAGCACTGGATCTATACATTTGGGATGGTTGATGCCCGCTGTAGTGTGCCAGTTTCACGCAGTGTTGGGAATCTAAGCACAAGTAACATTTTGGTATCTTCTGGGCCTAGAGTTCTTTGTGCATGTGATTAAAGAAGGTAAATCTCTCTCTAATCCATTTATATTACTCTCTATTTCCTCAGTCAGGGATGCTGGAACAATTTGTAGAGTGGGGGTGCTAAGAGCCATTGAACCAAACTGTAAACCCTGCATCTAATGGAAACCACTTCAAGCCAGGGAATGTGGCAGCACCCCTAGTTCCAGCACCTATACTTCTAGTTAGATAACCTTGTATTTTATTGGGATGAATTTAAATTGCAGCCTGCCTAGTTTACTCCTGGGACAATTCTGGGCCAAAAAAATTAAAATTCCGCAACAAAAAATAAAAAATTCTGTGCACAATATTTTACAATTTTGCAAAATTCTGCATATTTTGTCAAAATAACAATATAATCACATCAGTTTCAATTATTTTGTTTATTTCAAAATACCTGTTGTCTGTATTGTTACAGACATACTTGGTAACAACAAAAATTCAGAAAATGTTTTTTGACAAATAGATTCTTTACTAGGCATATTAATACAGAACTCTGAGTAATAATTCATTTAAACTACAATACAGAACTGTATTTCCCACACCCTTCAGAAGCAGTGCAAAGGCATGGGGGAGTCAGGGGTAATGGAGGAGCTGAGGGAGAGGGAAGTAAATTGCTGGGAAGGAGCCGGGGTGTGAACTTGGAGGGTTGTTGGGTATGGGTGGGAAAAGTATGGAACAGGTTTTGTTGAGGGTGGGGGAGGGATTGTTGGGAAGCTTCCCCCATGCATACCCTGGCTGACCCCTAGCTTCTCCCATTCAGTCAGGCACATCTGCCCGTCCCATGTGTCCTTTCATCCCCACTCAGACACCGCCTCTCCCCCCGGCAGCTCTGTATCCCTGTACCCCCCATTCCCATGGGTCTGTGCCCCCACTCAGCCACCCTCTGTCCCTATGTAGCTCTGCATGCTCTCCCAGTCACCATGTGCCCCTGTGTATCCACTCCCAGTCAGCTCCTGCCCCAGTTTGTCCTCCCCCCACTACCCCTTATGAGCCCATCTGACTTCCCAGCAGCCCCACGCTGTCTGTCTCCCCATAGCCCCTGTCTTCTGACCTGGCCTGACAGGCACTGCGAAGAAGGCAGGCTCTCTCTCTCTTCTAGCTGGCTGGGAGCTGCTGCTTTGTTCTAGGACCACAACACCTTCTGCTGGGCAAAAGGCGGAACTGCAGCAACATTTTGGCAGACGCTTTTTTCTGCATCAAAAATATATATATATATGCACAGCTCATTAATTATGCATGTGTGCAGTAGTGCAGAATTCCCCCAGGAGTACTAGTTCTCCTATTTCCTAGTTTTTCCATCAATAGTAGGTCGTTGTGTATTCCATCTTCCCATAAAGTCCTCCCCTACCCCCATCGCTATAATTTTATCCTCTACCACTTCTATTCTCCTTCAAAGGGGATTCAGCTAATGTAAACTAAGGCCACTTTACTTCTGAAAGAGTGCACACATGGGTTTAATTCACTTCACAGCTTTAGTTAATTCATCTTAATGTCCCTGCAGAGAAGTTCTCCGTGTATGAGATAAGCTAATGTTGCTTCCAGTAATTTGAATGATACTTGGAGTAGGGTTGTCATCTTCTGGTGACAATCAGGTTACATTACTACAAGAGAATAGCTGAAGTTGGTTAATTATAAAAGGGTGTTTACAATTCAGACCTTAAACTGTTACATGAACATTTCAGGCACTTCAGTGCCTAAAATGCTACTGATAACATTTATTCTACATTTCATATGCATTTGTAACCTAAACAAAAAGTCTACCAATGTAAGATATTCAGGAAACATCTCCCAATGTCATCTCTAGGAATAGATTTTCCTTCTTTGCACTAAATACAATCTTGTCCAGAACCTATCATCTCAAGAACTTGTTGATATATAACATGTCATCTTCCTAAACTTGCATTGTGCTTTATGTCTTATGGTAGACGAGGACAGCCCTTAACTCATGTTCTTCCTTCTCTCCACTAGTGGTTGTGTTTTACTAGTATTTGATGCAATACCGGACCTCAGCTGAAGACATCTCATGGAATCAAGATAATGCAAAAATGTTCATACAACTTGCAATAACACCCCGACCCCACTGTATCCCAACATCAACCTGTTCCTTATGTTTATAAATGGAGATGTTTAAACTAATGTAGGAAGGGATGGGCAGAATATTTTGAAGTACCTGAAAGACCAAAACTCCAACAATACAAAAGCTTGCAGTCTCATTATCGATATAGACTGCATATATAACTACCTTTATAAGTTCAGTGTGAAAGCTCTAATTTTGTATAAAAATCTTCAGTTCCATTTTTGACAACTTTGCTTAATTGATCTGTTTTACATTTAATCAGGAAGATATTTAAAGTGCAGTTAAATATGACTCTTCTGAGGAAGAGCAATTTTCACTGCAAATTAGAAGGAAGTTTATTTTAAAGTGAAGTTTGTAGTTTGTTGGCATTTTTAAGCTGCTTGGGAGCTGTGGCCATTTTCTTACAAAAAAAAAAAAAAAAAAAAAAAAAA